CATTGCTTCATCAACTTTCATTGAAATGGACTTAAATATATAACCAATACAAACGTCTATGTTTATGAAATATGGAGTACGTTTATGAGTGAGAGTGTGGATAAAGAGAAAATTCTGAAACCTATCTATACCCTCACTCGTTATCCACACTCCTGTTTGATTTATACCGATGAAAACAACCTTATTTCAGTAAAATATAAATATTGTTAAGAAAAAAAACATTTTATGACAAATCAAAAAAAATGATTATTTGTTTGTTATGCGATATCGATGTTTTCAATAGTCGGCATTCATAACATTATACCTTCTTTCGCAATCAAGTAAAACTCAAATGCCGTCTAGTATCTTTTCTTGATGTAGACATCAAAATTTGTCCTTTCATTTCACGATAGATCCGAGAACGAAAGCTCAAAAAATACTCGTTCGAACACTTGATGAAAGTCTCGGAAAATTACTATCCCAATAAGCAAAAATATACGAAAAGATATTTTTGATGAAAATTAAGTAATGATAGGGAAAAAGATGAGTATATCGACAATGGCTTGTCATATTATTACTGGTTCATACTCATTATTCAATGACGCATGGTACCTAAAGGTTAACAGAGGATTATTAGTATGTAATATCATTGATCGATGTATCAATCTTAGACAACTGAGTAGGTCTCAAAACGACAGGTAAGCATCATTTTTTTTATCTATTCATTTCATAAGCCTGAAAACAAGAAGTCTATTGAAATATTTTTCTAATAGAAACTGACTGCTGAAAAATGGATCTCTTCGGTAAAAGGAAGAAAAATACGACAATGGGACAATTATCGAAATAAATGAAGTATTAGAAAGTGTGGGTTTTCGCTAAACAGAACAAAGCAATTTTTATCTATTTTGTTAGGTTATATCACGCGGTTGCTCGCTAAAGTAATGCAGGTTAAGAGCCCATTAAGTGCGAGTAAAAAGAAAACAAAAGTGGGAGCAAAAGAAAGAGAGAACAAAAAAAAACAAGAAGACAAAATTATTTCTTTTTTCATTTCTATCCTTTCTCTATCTGGCAACAAAATGGCTGAAAACGAAGAATATACTTATGAAGTAATCGATAATGAGAACGATGCACGTACATGTGCGCAGCTGATTGCCGAAGAATTCGCTACCCACGAACCCATATGTAGCTTTGACCAAATGTCACCACAATATTTCTTCCAAGAAGTATCATGGCCATTAATAACAAGGGCACTCAAGGAACATTTATCTTTTTTGGCACGACATCGTGCTTCAGGCGAAATCATCGGTGCTATTTTTGCTCATGACATTTATATGGCGCGTAAGGAACATCCATATAATGCTACTAGTTCTCCAGCAACAATACCTTTTGTCGATTTACTCGACGAAATGGATCATATTTTTGTTTGTCAAGACTTTGGCCAAGAATTGAAGCCCAACATGGTCTTACAAATTACTACAGGTGCAACGCGAGCTGCTCATTGTGGTAAAGGTGTGGCTAGTCGATTGCGTGCAGCTATGTGTGATCATGCTCGAGATACAAAAGGATTTCAATATGCACTTGTGCAGGTATCGAATCCGGCAACTCGTCATATCTATACAAAAAAGATGGGTGGGAAAGAATTGACAATCATCGACCCAAGAACGTGGATGTGGAAAAAGAAAGATGATGGATTATCACGTCCATACAAGAATTATGAAGGTGGTTCTATACCGAATATTCTTATAAAGCTGACACCAGCCGAAGAGAAGTAATGAAGGTTAATTGTTTCACATGATTGCCAATGAAATTACATAACCCAATATCGTGTTGTAGTTTGATCTTTTCACATGTATCCTTTTAATTATTGATGAAATAATATGATTAAGGCTGACATATAGAAAGAGATGCTGTATTTACTTTGACGGGAGAATTTTGCGATGAAAACAGCTTTTACACGTACAAACTGAGTTCGCTGAATGTCTGAGAAGGCTTTTTTATTCGAGTAAATTCTCTCAGTCCGAATAGTACGATTTTTAAACTCACTACGGAAACTCCAAATCATTCCGGACTCAAACTGAACAACTGAGTGTCTTAATACATAGTGGTTTAGTACTCTCGTGTGATCCGTTTGTTTCGTTGGACTTTAAGAGTAATGATGAGGAAAAGCAATAAACATCGGATCAGCTATGTGACATTACGCAAGTATTCACTCTGCTGTCTTCAAACAAGAATTGACAAAATTCGACATATTAAGTTTGACAAATGAACAAAAAGCCACAAAAATGTAACCATGGGTAGATTGTCTACAAGGGAAATTTTCGAAGCGTTATGTATAAAATTCCGGTGGTTGCCAAAAGTTTGATTATTTCTGGAATTTTTCGATTTTAAAAAAATTCTGTAATCGACGATATTTCAATATTTTTTCTCTGTATTGCTATGTACTGTTTACATTAAGAATTGTTTTGAAATTTCCTTATGCAGAAGTTTGCACTTACTTCAAAAATAATGAGACCGCTTCCAGCTATCATGATTTGATGAGTTTAATATCGAAACTATATCCTTTTTAGATGTGTCGTCTTGTAGGATGAATACTGGCAAACAATTTAGCGATGCAAAACGGAAAAAAAAACAAACAAGTTGAGAAGAAAAAAGGAACAAATACAGAGAAACCATGGAGGCCAACGACAGTAGAACAATTTCACACAAGGAATTCATTAATTTTAAGTGAGAGCTTACTGACAAGTGGCGACCAGCTGATCTGTGGTAGGCCTTTGAGCATTTTGGTCACATACAGCTCACTCATATCGACTTAAATGCGTGAGGGTGTGGGTGTGTATCGAGAGTAGTCATGTCTACATCCATATCCACAAGATCATAACGATCCATATCCGTATAGGTTCATGTTGATGATTTCGTTTATGTTGCTTTTTTTCTATGTCGATCTGTAGGTGTTTGATTGCTTTTTTTCCATAAACAAGAAATCAAGATCACAAATGATGTTTTTTGAAGTTAATGATGGATTGTTGCAAATCAAGAGAAAGTTAAAAATTCTTATTTATAGTACATTATATTGAATTGCAACATAAACACGTATTTCTTTAATATGATATTGTTATTATTATTTAAATTCCTCATTTAAGATGCATAAAAATATTTTCAACCAAATGTTAAATAGTCGTGAACCGAGTTGAACATGACAAAATAGTATTTTTCTCGTCTTTATTAGGGGACTAACTCAATATGACTGTAATTACGTAAAAGAAGATAATCTTAGAAAAGAGGTTAACATCTTCTGTAGTTTGCTTACTTCAGCTTCATTCTCAAAAGAATATTTATATGACTATAAATCATAAAAATTGTGTTGATGAATTACACTTTACTTTTCTCTTTATACATTATTATATAAGATTCATTAGGAAAAAAAACAATTTTATTCCGATAGAGTTAATTTCTGAAAGTAATAATTGGAAGAAAAAGTTTTGTTTTTTATGTTAAACATGCAGATCGATCTGTCTTTATATTAATGTTCTTGTCACTGTCATCGACAGTTGCTATATAAATTAAAAGTATTTAGAGAAAATTTGTTTGAATTCGAAAGTTTAAGATATAAACGATAGAGTGTGTGGATGTGGGGTGTGGGTGGGCGTGGGAGTGGATGTGAATGTGGGCGTGGTTGTGGTTGTGGGTGTGGATGGGTGTGAGTGTTGTTCTTTGTCGTTTCTTTACCCACACACTTACATACAAGGGAGAAACAGCAGAATCCAGTCCTTTGGATTCAAGTGGATTCACGTGAAGTCTCGTAAAATGATTTCCTATTTTTCTGAAATCCATTATAAAAATTCGATACTTCTATTTTTTTTGTTTGTATCGTGTGTACTATAAGATAAAATTTTTATTAGTCTTGATTTGGATACAAGCATACATTATCTTTTTTTATTCTCACACAGCACATTCTTTATTTCAAGACTTGAAAGTCAGTAAAGCGTTGTTCATTTTATTGAAAATAAAGGAAAAAAGTATTATATAAAGAAAAAAAAACAATCAACTTTTTTTATTAATCTGTTGTACTCGAAGCAATCGATCGTTTGACATTTTACTTTTTTCACCAGTTAATAACCAACAAGCAGTCTGTTTATGTATATATTTTATA